TCTTCCATTTGTGTAATTCTGTAATACACATATGTATGAGGGGTTTGTAATTGAGTTTTATGATGTTGCTAATTGGGGTGGCGATCTTAACTCCTAGGTATGTTATGGATGTCGTTCTCTAATCTAGGTCAAAGGAGTTTTTAAGTGCAGTCACGGTCGGGCCTGGCAAATTGATCGGTAAGGCTTGTGTTTTTTCTTTGTTGAGGCGGTAGTAAGAAACTGTACCGTAGTCGGTCAGTAATGTCAGCAGTTGGGGTAGTGATTTTTCAGGGTGTGATAGAGAGACAAAGATGTCGTCCGCGAACATCGCCAGACAGTATTCCCTGTCTCTCAGTTTGATGCCGGATATGGATTGGTGTTGTCTTATCTTCCAAGCTAATGGTTCTAGAGAAAGGATGTATAGTAGGGGGGACAATGGGCATCCCTGGCGTGTCCCATTTGTAATGTGAAAGATTCGCGACAGGAAGCCTCCATGAGAGACTCTAGCGCTGGGTTTCGCGTAGAGCGCCATTATCCCTCTTATAGCCCCTTTGGGGAATTGGTATTTGCGCAGAACCTCTGTCATGTACTGCCAGTTTAGCCTATCGAAGGCCTTTTCAGCGTCTAGCGCTAGGAAAAGACCTTCGAGGCGCCCCTTCTCCATCCCCGCTATGATATTTAGTACTTTCCTCGAGTTGTCGGAGCCCTGTCTACCCTTCACGAATCCCGACTGGTCATTGTGAACTAATTTTTGTAGGAGCGGTGCTAGCCTTTCGCTGAACAGTTTTGCATATATTTTGGCATCACTATTAAGCAGTGAATGGGCCTGAAGTTTTTACAATGGTCTTTGCTTTTGCCTGGCTTAGGGAGTGTGGATACGTGTGCCATTGTAACTTCTTCTGGCAATGCTCCTTCCCTCTTGCAATGATTGAATATTGCCTGTAGAGGCTGAATTAGCGTTGGTAGGAAAGTACGGTAATATATATTAGATAGGCCATCAGGACCTGGGGATTTGTGTGGTGGAAGTGTAGAGACCACTGAAGTGATCTCCTCTAATGTGAAAGGCTTATCAAGCTGGTCTGCGTCTGCAGTAGATAGAGTTGGAAGGTCCATTCCCAATAGGAAGGTTTCAATGTCTGCTTTGGAGGGGCAAATGGACTGTTGGTCATCTTTCAGATTGTAAAGTTTTTCATAA